GTGAAAGGAAGGGATCACCACAGGGGCAGGGACGGGGCCCAGCTGGCAGCCCTAGGCGTTGTGTAGTGATGCCAGTAGTAATTAATAATGATAATAAATACCACACTTTATAACCAAACCCAACCTGAGGATGACTGAATAATTGGACCTCTGCCTCCCACCTGCACACTGTTAGTCTGCTAGTCCACACCCTCCCATTAGCTTGGGTCTAATCCAGCTGCCGGGTTCCAGCCACCATGTTCTGACGGGTTCAAAAGGAGGTCTGCTCCCCAGGACAGAGACGTGGAATAGCACTGCTCCTCAGCAAAACCTCAGGGGGCGCGGGTGGGCAGGTAGGGGTGGTTTGGCTTTGCAGTATTCAGAGTTAGGAAAGAATCAAAATGGGACGGTCATGTAGGCCCCACTGATCTTGGTTTAGTGTTTCTTCGATGTGCCCAGCTCCGGCCGGCCCGGAGTTTCCCGACCCCGGACCCCAGGGTCTGGCACTCCCCGGCCGGGCAGCCTGGGGACCTCCGGAGCCGAGGCCGCAGGTCCCGCGGGGCATCGGAGGTCCGGGCGGCTGCAGAGGAGAGCTGGGGCCGTCAGGGCGCACTCAGGCCGCGGGGAGGGAGGCCGGCGCCGGCGCGGAATGTCTTTATCGGGACCCAACAGCCGCCCGCTTCTCCTTCGCTGCTTCAAGCGATCACGGAAAGACACCTTTCGATCTTTCGTCAGACATCTTGGCCCTTAATAGCTAAATTTATTTGGTTTAAAGCAGCCTTGGGAGAAGCAGTGGGGGAAAATCTTTCGTCGGTCATTGGGTGGCCTAGATAACAAGCTTGAAAAGAGAGAGGGGAGAAGAAAGTAAAAAGGTTAATGGATGAGGGGAGGGCTAGAAGGCGCCCAGCGTGGGGCTTTTACAGCGACCCTCCCCCGGCAGCCCCTTATCGCGGCCCTGACTTACCCGCAGCGTATGAAGTACATTAAGTCACGTAAACAGCACGCGGACAGGAATGCCACCGCGGTGACCTTTCGTGCGCCGCCGCGAGCCTACCTCCGCGCCGTGCTGGCGGCCGCCGGCGGCGCGGGGGGCGCCCGGGGCTGCGGGCGAGAGGCCTCGGGGCCGGGCCTACGGCCGCCGCGCGCCTGAAACTGCACTCGGCGGTCCGGCCGCCGGCGTGGCTCTGCTCTTTCCTTACCCCAAGTGACCGGCGGCGGGCCCGGGGGCTGGGGCGACCTCTAGGCTGAGTACTGTTCGCGCTTCCGTCGCCTCCACTTGACATTTCCAAAGAGTACTTTGGGGTTTTCGAGAATTAAAAACTAAAACTAAAACAAAACAACAACAACCCTCTCCCTGCAAGAAACCACCTCGACTCCGGGCCATGGCTTTGGTGGGACTGACAGCCGCTGAGGCGGGGGTGGGTCGGGGGGACACGCCACCCGGACCCAGCTAGTGTACCCGGAGTCTGGCGCGGGTGGGGGCGCCGAGGTGACCTTGTGTCTTTCGGAAAAAGCGTCCCTGGGACAAGAAGAAATATGGTATGAGAAGGCCCCATAAATCGGGTTTAAAATCACTCAATTTAAAAATATGTTTTAAGTCAGATGTTGTGTTCTTTTTCTTTCAGAAACGTCGCTGGAGCAGCCAGGAGCTTTGTAAAATGACAGTACAATGAGCTGAAGTTTGCGGGTGTAAAGGCGTATGGCGATGAGGGTCCTGGGGTCTCGCAGATCCTCCGGAAGTAGCGCACGACTAACTCCCCAAACACCCTCTCCCGTTTGGCAGCAAATCTCCCGCCCCCTGCCCAATTGGCTGCTGTTTTCTGGCTGAATTCGAATCACGAATAGTAGTGTGGCGCGGCCCAAATAAATCAGCCTGGGGGACAGGCCGCGCCCCGGAGCCAGCCCCTCTCCGAGGGTGGGGAGGGCAGCTGGAGAGGGACGGCTCAATCTGGAGGGGCCACCCCTTGGGTCTAAATAGTCCGGAGAAAAATGATTTCGTTTCAGATTAGCAAACCCCAAAAGAGGAGACAGGCGGAAGGAAAAGAAAAGGGAAAAAGAAAGAGGGGAAAGTTAAGAAAAGAAACAACGAAGAAAACAGAACAACTACTAAAAGCCTGCCTGTCAACCTGAACACTGTGGGGGCCTTCTGCGGCTCTTGAGTTTCTCTCTTGTTTGGTGTGTATTCTTTTCCCCGCACCCCCTATTTTCCCTACCTTCTGAGACCTGTTGGGACGCTCAGAGCTCCAGGGCCTGGGGCTGGTGGGGGTCGCTTTGGAAATGTGCCGATCCCCGGGTGTTGTCCCCAGGACCAAAGCTGATGTGTTGGGAAAAATGCAAACTGGAAGGGTCAGGCAACCTGGCCTTCCGTCTGAATAAACTGTACGGTTAAACAGTCGTGTTTTATTTTTAAATTAACTGACAAAAACATTTCATACCCATTCCCTCCTTTGTTTGGAAAACCAATCTAAAAACACAACAACAGCAGCAACAACAACAAGCACTTTGTAGCCCAGCAAAGGAGCAATGACCTTTCCTCTTTCCCCTCTTTGTTTTAGGGAATGATAAAAAGAGATTTGGAATCTGGAGGGTATAATGCGGGTCCTGCTCTAGTCCTTAGAACCCTTATGTTGGGGACTCAGTCAGTGTCTGTCCTATGGCTTACCTGTGTCCCAGCCATGCCCTGGCCAACGCACCCTCTCACTGCTGCTACAGAGCTGTGGAAAAAAAGAGGCCATTGAGGGGGGTGAGCTCCCGTGGAAAGAAATCCACACGGATAGCCCCCTACTTGCAAATACAAAGATTTGCGCAGGGCTGGGTCTCCTCTGGGCTCAGGCTCAGAGGCCCGTCACAGCCTGGACTCTAATTAGCCAAAAGATTTATTTGTTACCTCGTCTTCATTAAAAATCAGCTCACCAAAATTTGAATTAAAAAAAAACACAACAACTTTGAAGAGCAAACCTGAGGAACATTTAAAAACAGTTGAACTCAAACGTCCATAACCTTTCTGTAACTGCTTATAATGGAGTTTCTGCAAAACTCAGTCTATTTAAAAATCTGGTTGGAACTCACGTAAAAACCAAAAGAAAGACATTGGAAGCCCAGGCCCAAGTTAAGTGCAAGGCGGACGCCGGGCTGTCTCTTCTGGTAGTTGCATTCGATCGAACTCAGGTTAAAATTTAAAGCCCTTGGATCCTGCTCCTGTCGCCAGTCTCCGTTCCAGAGTTTTCTACCTTCAGTCCTTCCGAAATGCGGCAACAACTGAAACTGGGAGCCGCCGCCGCAGTGATTGGGGGAGGCAGAGAGGAATGTAATAAAAGTAACTAAATTAGATGAGAACGGTTTATGGACCTTCTCAGTAGCAATTTAAAATTCAAAAGTGTTTAGCAGCAATTTACAACGAAGAATGGGGGGTGGCGGGAGAATGATCGCCAACTTCCTGAATTCTGAGCCCTCCTCCCCCGCGCTGCCAGGCCCTGTCCACTTCTCCCCCCCAGACACACAGGTTCACAGCTCACAGTTATATTGAGAGAAAAGATACACTTAGTGACGAGGTCTTACAATCTTTCTAAATCATATTTTACAACGCCCCTACCTACACTGGCTTAACTATGCTTAGGTTCCTCTCCCTTCCCCAACTAAAAAACACAAAAATAAACAAACAAAAACAGAGCCCAAACGCTTTCAGGGGAAACTGACCTTTAGGAAATTATTTACTTTGATTTACCTGGAAAAAAAAGTGTAAAAATCCATTCCCACACAACTCCTACTGCCCGGGTTAAAATTCTCACACGCCTTCTGGGGTCACGTCTGTCGGAAGAAATTCTTTTTGTGAGCGAAAGGGAGCGAGACCTAATATCAAGGCTCCTGCCGCGGCCGAACCCGCGGCCGCGCGACTCGTTGATGACAGATCGGCGCTGATAACCCCGCGACGTTTATTTCCAGTCCCTTTGCCGGCTAAGGACCATATCAGTTTGTACACAGTTGTGATAACCATTTGGAGGGAGTGAATAAGAGGTGTGTATGTGGGGGTGGGTGGGAAGCGGTATATCGCGCTGGGTCCAGAGAAGGTGACCCCCCTCTTTCCAACGACTTATCTGAAACTTACCTGAAGTTCTCCAGGGAAAGCTCAGAGCAAACGGGACACCCAAACTCGGAGAGCATCTGCGGGCGCTACTGGCGTGGAAGCCCTTTTCCATCCTGTGCACCTCAGGACTAACCTAGCACACCATTTACTAACTAAAGTAAGTATACCACGGCCCCGAATTAAACGTCCCGAAGGCTAGCTGAGGAGTGCCGACTTGAACGTCCCAAAATTTCCCAAGAATTTAGTATAGTTTTAAAAGCAGGGCACAGATAGGGAGCTGGGCACTCCGAGTTCCTTCTTTCCCACATCATAGAAGCCTCAACCCCGACGGCCACCACGACCCTGTAAGTTCCAGGGTCTTGAGAAGAGGTCGGGGAAAGTTTAAGGTCGATCACAAACAAATGCAGAGCAAGAAGCTCATTTAATGTGGAGGGAGGAGCAGGGAAGGCCAGCGGAGCAAAGCATCCCCCCTCCCATTCTGGGGGCGCGTTGACCTGGGAGCTGGAGTGTCCCTCCCACCGCGGTGGCAGCGCAGGGCTGTGCACAGCCAATTCCACCCGTGCCACCGCTCCCCCCGCCCCCCGTGAGTGCATGTGTAACTAAGGGCGGAGGAAAGTGCTCCGCCGAAGGTTGGGTGTGGGTCGCCTGCCAGGTCTGGCGTTTGGCCACCTCCACCCCTTCCTCGGCGTCCCTGGGCTCGGCGCCCCCTGGATGCACGCGCCCCCACTCCTAGGGCTGTGCTTGCAGCTCAGCTCACGCCCGCAGGCTGCGTAGCGCTCATTGTCTGCTGGGGCGGCGCGCTCCCCTCCCCCTGCCGCTCACTGTCCCCTCCCCACCCTCTTTTTTCCCCTCCCCTCGCTCCCTCCTCCTCCTCCTTCTCCTCCTCTTCACCTCCAGCGCCCAGCAGCTCGCGGAGCGCAGTTCCGACCTACAGCCTGGCACCCTTCGGCGAGCGCTGTTTGTTTAGAGCTCGGTGAGTCCAATCAGGAGCGCAGGCTGCAGTTTTCCGGCAGAGCAGTAAGAGGCGCCTCCTCTCTCCTTTTTATTCACCAGCAGCGCGGTGCAGACCCCGGACTCGCGCTCGCCTGTCGGCGCCCACGGCCTCTCTCCGCGTTCGGGAGCACCCTCCACCGCGGCCGTTCTCCATGCGCAGCTCCCACCCGAGGTTCGCCTGCTTGCTCTCTTGCTTGTGCTCCGCTCTTTCCTTCCCGCTACCCCCTCCCGTCCGGGCCCCGGCTTCGGCTCTCCGGGCCGCGGCTCTGCGGGCCGCGGCCGGCTCTGAGAGTGTCTCCCTTCTCAACTCCCGGCAAGCTGTAGGGACTCCCAGGTTCCCGGGACACCGCGTACCAACTTCTGGTGTCTTTTTCTCTCCCCAAAGCGCTTATCTGCGCGCAGCCTTATCTCCGAGTTATCTCGGCGCAAAGGGGCGGGAGCCGTAGTCAGGCGGGCAAAGAGACTTCTTTCTTGCTCTCTAGCCCCGGGTTTGCGTGTGAGCATTCATTTTTAGTATGGTTATCTCCGATGAGCTCAAGCGATTTGCAAAGGCAGCCCGGAGAAGGCCTGCCTGGCTGCATTTGCCTCCCTCCTTCACCCCCTTCGAGTCTCCCTGTCATTCTTCCTGCTCTCTCCTTTGGGGTGGCTTCGTCTCCGAGGCGGACTCACGTACCCCCTCCTTTTCTGTGCACTCCGCTCCACCCCGATACGTCCTATTCCGGAACGGTCTAGCCTTTCCACCGCTGGGAATAACCGCGGGATGGGCCGGGTGGCCCGGCCGGCGAGAGCGCAGGCGCTGGTGGCTGCAACGCAAGCCGCGTCTAAGGTGTGCGGTGCCGCCGCAGGCACGAGAGTTGGGCGTGAGACTCGGCCCTGAGGGCATCCCGCACTGCCGGTGCCCGGAAGATCCGATACTGCCTTCCCCGCCCCAGGCTCCACCTTCCCAGGGCTGAGTTGCATTTTTCTCTGGGTCTTGCGTTCTGTCTTGTCAGTGCAGTCTCGGGAGCTCTGGGAGAGCCAGTGTGAGAGAATGCGGCGGTTTCGTTTTCGGAACAGGTTGCCATCCTTGAGCTAATAATTTTTATGGGGGCAGTCATCATGCCGAGGCGTTCTGGGCCGGGAGCACCCTCAGGGAGGCAGGATAAGGCTACTCGTTAAAAAGTTCTTTTGTGTGTGGACGGCAGCAAGGGAGCAACTTTGAGGAGGGAGGAACACCTCCGCCAGTCTCGGAGTCACCCCTGGGAACAGGCGCGCGCGCAGATGAAGGATGCTGCAGAGGGGGTGAGAGGAAAGGGCGAAGAGACCAGAGAGATGCGGGTGAGGCAGGACAGTTGATCCCGGTCCTTGGAGGATTCGGTGGCGGCTGCTCAGGCCACATCCCTCTCTTATTCACCAACTCCAACGCCTAGGGCAGAAACGGCATTTTTGAAGAATCTTATTAGTTAGGAAAAGGAGTAGAAATGAGATATCGTACAGCCTGCGCTTTTGGTAACCCCTTTTTTTATTTCTCCTCCTGTCCCTGTCTCCCCGCCTTAGGAGCTAGAAATAAGCTTGCAGCGGCGCCGGACCGTGGATGGCCTTGACTGACGGCGGCTGGTGCCTGCCGAAGCGCTTGGGGGCCTCGGCTACGGACGCCAGCGACTCCGGAGCCTTTCCAGTGCGGGAGCCCTCCACGCCGCCTTCCCCCATCTCCTCCTCTTCCTCCTCCTGCTGCTCCCGGGGTGGAGAGCGCGGCCCCGGCGGCGCCAGCAACTGCAGGACGCCGCACCTCGACACGGAGGCGGCGGCGGGACCTCCGACCCGGTCGCTGCTGCTCGGCCCCTACGCCTCGCATCCCTTCGGGGCTCCCCACGGACCTTCGGCGCCCGGGGTCGCTGGCCCCGGGAGCGCCCTGTCGAGCTGGGAGGATCTACTGCTCTTCACTGACCTCGATCAGGCCGCGACCGCCAGTAAGCTGCTGTGGTCCAGCCGCGGCGCCAAGCTGAGTCCCTTCGCACCCGAGCAGCCGGAGGAGATGTACCAGACCCTCGCCGCCCTCTCCAGCCAGGGGCCGGCCGCTTACGACGGCGCGCCCGGCGGCTTCGTGCACTCGGCGGCCGCCGCGGCAGCGGCGGCGGCGGCGGCCAGCTCCCCAGTCTACGTACCCACCACCCGCGTGGGTTCCATGCTGCCTGGCCTGCCGTACCTGCAGGGGGCGGGCAGCGGGCCCACCAACCACGCGGGCGGCGCGGGCGCACACCCCGGCTGGCCCCAGGCCTCGGCCGACAGCCCTCCGTATGGCAGCGGAGGCGGCGCGGGGGGCGGCGGGGCCGCTGGGCCAGGCAGCGCCGGCTCGGCCGCGGCGCACGTCTCGGCACGCTTCCCCTACTCGTCCAGCCCGCCCATGGCCAACGGCGCGGCGCGGGACCCTGGGGGCTACGCAGCGGCCGGCGGCGGGGGCACGGGCGGTGTTAGCGGTGGCGGCGGCAGCCTGGCGGCCATGGGCGGCCGAGAGCACCAGTACAGCTCGCTGTCCGCCGCGCGACCTCTGAACGGGACGTACCACCACCATCACCACCACCACCCGAGTCCCTACTCGCCCTACGTGGGTGCGCCGCTGACCCCCGCCTGGCCCGCTGGACCCTTCGAGACCCCGGTGCTCCACAGCCTGCAGAGCCGCGCGGGAGCCCCGCTCCCGGTGCCTCGAGGCCCCAGCGCAGGTAAGGGTCGCTCCGCTGCGTGGGGGTGGGGACCCGAGGCTCTGGGGCGAAAGGGGGTGAGGAGCAGCCACTTGACTTGGGCCCTATTTTCAGTGCTTTCGTGTCGGGAAGCCCAGAAGTCGACCTGGCCCCAGGCAATATTTGCCGACCTGTAGTTGGGCGACTCACAGTCTGGCTGCGTTGATGTAGTGCTTCAGTTTTGCGGACTATCTCAGTTCCTTTCCACCAGAGACTGAATTCGCTCATATGTATACACCCAAGTGCTTAGGAGAAGCTCCAAGGATTTGATGAGTAGTGAATGAGGTGGGCAGTAGGAAGGAGTCAGCCCCGAAGGGAACCGACAGGGCCTGAGCCCCGTCGAAGACTCTAGTTTTGCGTGAGTGGAAGAGTGAGACTCTTTTTGGGGTAAGTTTAGGAGAATGTTGGACACTTGGTTTACCCTGTCCTCAAACACATACAGTCTCGCTAATTCACCTCTCCAAAGATGAGGAATTGTGTTTTCCTCAAGGAGAGTATATAAAAGGACTCCACAGTGGAAAAGGACCTAAGGGCCCCACCTGCCTCTCAATGACAGGGAAAGAAGAGAGGACACCTGGACTGGTCAGCCTTGTGACTGTCCAGAGGGAAAGCTGGTGGGTGACCCTTTGGCTTGGCATTAGTTGGGAGGGTGTCTGGGGCTCCCAAATCTAGAGGTAGAGTTCAGCCCACCAATTTTTCAGTTTCCAATCCTACTTATACTGTCATTCTAGGGTCTGGGGCAATTTTCGAATGAACTGGGAAAACACAATTGTCAGAATACCTGGAAAGACCCCATTTTGAAGTGTTTTGTTCACTGAAGCAGGCAGGGGTGGGTGTGACTGTGTTGTCTGGCCTGACAGGCACTTTGGCTGCGTAGCCTAAGCATTTTGGTGCTTTCGCAGGCTCCTCTTACCTTATATTTATTTAACCTGTTTGATAACCTGACAGATTTCTAACACACAAGTTTTTTTGTTTTGTTTTGTTTTGTTTTTGTTTTTGGTCTGTTTGAGGGGCTCTGTGGGAGTTACAGAGGTGGAAATGATGAAGGAGGTGCATCAGCTTAAATCATTTTACCTGGTGTTTTCATAGCGCAGGTCTGAGAGCCTCAGCTTTCCATTTAGGGACACGTTTTTTAGGGGCCTTGAGTAATTAGGAAAAGTGAGGCATTGTCAGCCTTTTGTTCAAAAGACATGCTGGACACTCAAGTGGCCTGAGAGTAAAGGATATGATCTGAAAAGTACTAGTAACAGTGGGAGAGGGCAATGAGCTCTTCCTCTACCCGCTCTTAGATCTTAGTCTCAAAATTCCCTCTTCTTCCCCTTGCAAGCTGGCTCTGAAGACTGTCATCACTATGTGGGGGGCCCTTGCAGGTTTGCTCTTTTGAATAGACACTTGAGAGAGCACAGCACTGTCACCCTTCCTGCTGCATAGGGACCTACGTCTGGCTTCCAGGAGCAGACAGAAGGGAGATGAGGGTTCTTCAAAGCACGGGAAAGGGGGTGGCTGTTAGGGTGTGAGGCTTTTGTCAGTCAGGAGTCCAGCAGGGAACTGAAAGGGTATGTGAGTTGGGTACGGGACTGGGGGCAGTTGCAGTTGGAGCAAGGTCTTGAAGCTCTGCCTGTTCCGTGACACACCTTAGCATGATATCCATGTTCCTTTCCACTAGTCTTCAGCATTTCACAGGACTGAGAAAGAGAAATAGTCCAAAAGACATAACTGGAGTCTTCGAGTATTTAAGGTGACTGGTTCTGTGTGAAAAATCCTTTTAGAGGCAATAGGGTGTGATTGGAAGCAAGTTATGTTTCTTTTCATTTTGAACTTAGCCAATCCTGCTCTGGCTGGGTAGCTCAGTTGTTAGTGTTGTCCCACTACAACAAGTTTGATCTCCAGTCAAGGCACATACAAGAAAACAACCAATGAATGCATCAATAAGTAGAGAACAGCAAATCGGATGTCTCACTCTCTCTCTCCCTCCCTCTCTCTCTCTCTCTCTCTCCCTCCCTCTCCCCCGCCCCCTCCCTCCCTCTCTATCTCTCTTTTTAAAAATCAGTAAACTGAGTCTATCCTTTCACCAATGTTTTCACTTTCTGGTTAGGACACTGCAAAATTAGAAAAGTTTTCTATAGATCCAGAGTGTATTTAAAAAAACAACCAACCAGAAATGGGAAGGGGTTTGGGAACACTCAGACTTTTGCAGAGTCTGTTAAGAAGGCGGGGAAACTGCTGAGTGAGAATAAGCCAGTCTGGGAGTGATAGAGGCAAATAACCCTAACTTTTCTTGTTCTCACAGGTGTTCTCTTGCTAGAGAGACCTCAATCCTCAACCCCTCTCCTCCCAGCTTCCGAGCTAGATTCCCCGCTTCTCCACTTTGATTATTTTTAAACAAACCAGTTCTGGAGGCACTCTTTAATTGATATGGGCAAACAGCAGGGCTAAAACCTGAGTGCTGAGCTTTCTTGACTTGTGGAGGCTCTGGGAACCTGCACCGTACAGCTCTTCCTGGTTCTGGTCGTGGGTGAGTGGGTTGTGGGGAGTCCTGGGTGAGGTCAGAGTCCTCACAGCCCTTCAGTCCTCAGCCCAGACCTCTCATAAGTTCCTCATAACTATTCCATTCTTTGGGTCCTGGGACTACACTTGTTGGATGAACCCTTCTCCCCTGAGTCTGCATTTCCCAGGGGCACCCAAGGCAGCCATGTTAGGAGAGAGATGATGTGTAGGGGAAACTGATGAAGGGGCTTCCAGGGCCATCAGATTTTAAAATTTTTATTTTAAAAACACTTTTCTTATTTTAATCAGTTGTAGGATTGTAGCTGCTGGGTGAAGAGTAGGGAGAGGTCGGGAGGGAATGGGAGCTATAGATTTTATTTAACCAAAATAAACAAACTTCCTAAATTTTATTTATCCACAGTGGACTTTAAGTTTTGCCTTTGGATTTTCAGATGACTTAAGAGATTTACCTGGCGAGTTCATACTGTCTTCTCCTTATTGTTCCTATCTCGGGGAAGGAGGCCAGATGCAGGGCTGGGTTCTCCAGGGAATGCCCCACTCCTCTATTGAGAGAGGCTCTGATAGGTAACATTTTAAAGTCAACAACAAAGACAAATACCTTGTTTAACTTCAGTGTCCTTGAAGTCCTGAGCATTTTACTGATTACCGTAGTCAATAGTCGCTTTTAGGGCCGAGAAGAATAAATCTTTGTGATGTGTTGTAAGTTGCAGTATCCCCATGACAACTTTGAACTCCAGTTATGTAGGATGCTAGTTTCTTTTAAACTTATTTCTTGAGAAAGGAGACTTGTTTTTATGCCAAAGACACATTTAAATATCTTTACAACAAACAGTTAATAGTAGAGACAAGCAGTAAACTGCACAGGAATGAGAAGAATAGAAAAGCTCAATAGTACACATAATCTTCAAACAAAATTCTACAGTGTAATGTTTATTTACTTTAAATATTGATTCAGAAATGCTCCTTAAAGAAAGCGAAATTGGAACATTTAAACCCTCTATAATATTAACAACCCTAAACAGGAGATACTTATTTTTTAAAAGTCTATTTACAAAGTACTTATTTAATTAGTAAGTACCTATTTCATTTTAGATAATATTCATTCACTAACTGATTTAAGGTAAGTAATAAATGTTACAACTATTTATTCTTAAGATTGTTTTAAATAACAGGTTTAAATTAGTTGTGAATTCCAAAAACTAAACAAATAGAAATGACATAAACAATTTAGAAAGATTGTATAAGTTGACATTTTAATGTAGGAAAATAGGAAACAGTTTTATTTATCACTGGGATGGTCTTACTGTTTTTCTGAATAAAATATCAACAGTTTGTAGAAATTTTGTAGATAGAAACAATTAGACCCACTTTAAAATAAGAATATTTTAGTGTTTGGTCCTTGTGGCATGAAAATAGAATTTGACATTTATCTTTGCTTATTAATGTTAGTGCATTTTTTCCTTGAGGAGATCTGTCATTTTCTAATTAATTGGTATCAGTGCTCTAGAACAGTATTTCTAATTTCACTTGTCTATTTTTTTATTGGGGAAAAAGAAGGGTGGTAGATACAGTAAATAGTTTTTAAAACAAAAAAGGAAGGTAAAAGCAATGGGCAGCCTCCCTGTGTCCTGGGGTATTTGTGGGCTGGAGCAGGGGTCAGTGATCAGTGTTAACTTTGTATGGTTTGCTCGGGTTTGGCAAGTGGCATACTGTAATTATGATGGATTTCAGTTTTGAAAAGCTTGTGAACAGCCGGAAAGGAGGGGTCAGGGGACCTAAATCGATCTCCCCACAGCTCATCTCAACCCTGAGGTCCTTAGTGGTAGAAGGCAAATGCCTCGGCTTACAGCACTGTCTCCCACTTTGCTAGGTTTATACTGGGCGCGCCCAGGGGTCCCTCTAGAGAATGGTCAGCAGATGGATAGGGACATCACCAGCCGGCTCCCAGCTTGGCTACTGAGCAGAGAGATCCGTGGGGAAGGGCGCAGGCAGCACGTCCTCAGCACTGGCACCACGGGTGCTGGGGGGCTTCGGGGGAGCCTCGGTAGGGGCGGGCGCGGCGCGGCCTCACCCGGCCTTTTGTCCCCGCTCTCACCGCAGACCTGCTGGACGACCTGCCCGAGAGTCGCGAGTGCGTGAACTGCGGCTCCATCCAGACGCCGCTCTGGCGGCGGGACGGCACCGGCCACTACTTGTGCAACGCCTGCGGCCTCTACAGCAAGATGAACGGCCTCAGCCGGCCCCTCATCAAGCCGCAGAAGCGCGTGGTGAGTGCGAGCGCCCTCGCCCCTGCCGCCCCACCCGCCCGGGCGCCCCTGCGGGCACAGGTGCGCGGCCCGGAGCCCCGGGTCTGGACCGAGCGCAGGAATGGGCCGCCCCTTACTCCCCATCTGCTGGCGCCCGGCTGGTGGTTATCCCGAAATCAACGTCTGCGAACGAAAACAGCCCGTTCCCCATTTTTAACTTAGAGAATGACATCTTACATGAAAGAGGAAAAAAGGAAGGTGTAAGGTGCTACCATTTTTTAGTACAAAATATATATTTACATATTTCTGTATATATTTGTAAATGCACCGAAATAATTCCGAAAAGAGACGTCAGACATTTGTAATGATGGTAACCCCCGGGAAGGAAGACTGAGTACACCGACCCAGGTCAGGTGAACGAGGGAGAATTTTTTTCTCTATGCACTCTCTGGTCCGGTTTGGATTTTATTCTGGAAAAACCATGCTCCTTTAAAAGTCCCTTCCCCCAGCCCCAATAGAACAGGACAACGAACCCGTACTCCCTTTCTCCCTACGGTCTCATCCCGGCTTTCTTTGATTCTGTCCCTTCTATCTTTTCTCCCAGTGAGTGAGACAGATTTTAGCTACAGACTCCACTCATCTTTTGGATTGTCCTTGAGTCTGGTGAAAATTTATTTACCTTAACCTCTGTTACTTTGAAATCTGGTTGTTCAGAGAACTACATAGAACTTGAGAAAATAAGCAGTCAGTGTGTTCTCAAATTGGAAATTTTCGCCAATCTGAACACGGTTTACTATGTTTTAAAATATGGGAATTTTGATTTTCTTCAGGGATCAATCTCTTATTGTCATAGTTTGTGTGTGTGTGTGTGTGTGTGTGTGTGTGTTTTAGGAGAGGGTATTTACTGCTGTAGTGATTAGAGAAAATAAAGCTTTCAGGAGCCCCACTGTAAGGCTAACATTTGTTTAGTCAAGCACCCATACTCGAATACCTTTTAAAGTAAAATATTTTACAGTTAGATGCCAGACATCTTAAGTATCCAAGTAATTTATTTAATTGTTATACTCTAATTAGCAGGGACAAATGCTACACATGTTGTTTGTGTTAAACAGATTAGAGTGAAATTGCATCACAATGTAAGTCTGACACCTTAAGGAGGAGCAATTAGTTTTATGGTTGTTTTGTTTTTAATGCATTTAAAATAAAGTGGCCAAGGTTAATTTAATGAGTGTATGCGCCTTAAACTTGTTACAACCTCCCACAGCTTAAAAGTTTCTTCAAAGGCCATCCTTAACTTCAGTGTCTGACTCCCTATGGTTTTCATTTTTCTTATATGCGTGATATTAAAAAAAGAAAAAGTAGTGGCTGGAAAATATTCCAAGGAAGTTCTTTGTTTTCATGTATTAACCTATGTATTAACAATGAAACTGATAATAATGGCGCATTGAGCTGAGAACTAGCTGAGCTCCGAAAGGTAACATTTTCTTGAGATTGAGCAAAAAAAGAGTAGAATAGTAGCCATTTCGGTTTTAGTTGCATTATAAATTTAATCTGGTAACAGCCATATTTAGATAGTGCCATTTGTTTTGTGCTTTTTCAAGTAAAAATTATTTCCCAGAAAAAAACAGTTTTTAACATCTCTGAATCAATTTGTTTCCCTTCTCTGTGTGGTAACTGTTGGCAGTAACCAAGGTCAGCCAATGGGTTATAAATGATACCAATTGAAGGGTGTGTCTATCAATTAGTTCTCCTTGTGGGCTTCTTATTTATGGTTTTGATGGACCTACCTTAGTTATCAGAAGTAGAATATTGAACCCAAGTTTGTTTAGCCAGCAATACAGAACCAATCACTGTGAAATTTGAACTTGTAATATATTGCAAAATAAGAGATTTATGGTTAACTTGAATTCCTTGTCAATGATGAACATAACTGAGATCACTTGTTACAAGGAACTTTTATAACCCACTCACCTTCATTTCACATGTTTATGAGGACTGGCTTCACTTATGATCTGCAGTTGACAGTCATAAAGTTCTTTGTTATAATGGCAAATTCTGATAACAAGTTTGCCTCACATTGGCTCCAAATTCCAATGGAAACTGTCATAAATGACCTGTTTATGAAATGAACCTTCCTGTCCCTATTTTCACATTTATGAAGAGAAAGGATTATTCTCCTAGGAAATTATTTTCTTTTAACCAGAAAGAAAAGAAAGAAACCCTGATGCATAAGGTTTTATGTTTTCATCATTTTAGCAAAAGTAGTTCCCCAAATAATTCTCCTGTCAGCCAAGCATATTCATTACAACCAAAAGTCAAATTGATTTTTTCTTAGCACCGACTTCTTAAAATGTTGTAGTGCTAAGAGGCTTACCAGTGTCTCCTTGTTTTTATAACTTGTCGGTGAAGAGTAATGCTAAAGTAATACAACAGGATATGAATTTTAAATGAGAAAGTCAGTTGTATCTTTTAAATTTTCCACCAAAAGATTTGGAAATCTGTCCTTTAATCTGTGAATTTTCAATACATACTCAATTTTTATTTTTGTTGTGCATTCTTTACTTCTTTAACAGCTTCTTTTCTTGAATTAATTAGTATAGCTCACTCCCTATAGCTTTTTTTTTTTTTAACAGAAGTCATGACACCATTTTTTAAAAGTTGCCTATCTAGGTAATTTAAAAACAAATTTAGATTTTTGCCATTTTAGGGAGGAACTTATACTAGGTTAAATTCTCGTTCTTTATAATTCACACATAATTTAAGGGAAATAAATTCCCTTTAGGGATGTTATGGGCATAAAGAGAACATGGAAATCAGAATGAGGGTAACAGAGGGTTGACTTCTGATAATACCATTTAACCCTTTGTGTGAACAAAAGTTCATTATTATACTGCCAGGGTAATAAAATATATTAGTACATTGTATATAAGACAATGCTAGCATTAAAACAGTGCCATAAAATTTGCTTATCCTTTGCAAAAATGAATAATACAAAAATACAGCCAGCATTTGATCATGATAATTATGGAATGTATTAAAATATATTTCTTTAAAAACATTTTGTACATTTTCCAAAATCCATTTCTGGTTTGTTCCTCTGCACGTATCTGAGAAATAGACCTGATTATCTTCAGTTTTCAGGTGAAGCGGAGACTGCCCAAAGCCACTCAGCATATTGGTAGACAGTTATGATTGCATTTCAATTCTCTACAACGGTAGGTGCAGTTATTGGCCAACATTGTGACTGCTTCCCAGTTTTTCTATAATCTATGCTAATATGCTGGAGCAAATCAAATGTATGTTTGGGATCGAGCACGCTATGTAAAATTTAAGTTTTTTGGTACTAGAAGGTCAATTTAATTACACTTAAATTTTTTTCTTGAGGGGCTTCTTATTTATCATAACCAGGTACATGCTTGTTGATGACAGGGACATGATACATGGATATATGTAGAATATATGTAAAAATCACTTATAACTGTACACATACTTTCTTGTGCTGATTTTTAGCCTTCTTCTCGGCGGCTTGGACTGTCCTGTGCCAACTGTCACACCACAACCACCACTTTGTGGCGTAGAAATGCTGAGGGGGAACCTGTGTGCAATGCTTGTGGACTCTACATGAAACTCCATGGGGTACGTCACATATTCTGTTCATGTGGATACACTTTTAGTATAGTGTGTACATGATTTTAGTAAATAAAAAAGTCAGCAAAGGAGGAGGGGATGAAAATGAAAATCTGATTTTCTCTATGCATGTTATTGAATCTTGGAGGATATTAATTATATTAAACTATTAATATAATAATAGCAAGAAACAAACGCTGCTAATTAAACTCTTACGCGTGTCCATTGTAAAACATCGCAATATTAGAACTATTAAAATGTGAAAAATGTATATTTTAGAATTGATAAAATGGTAGTAACCCTTTAAAAAAAATACTGCACAAAGAGAAAGCATGGAAGGAACCAACTGGAAATGCACAATGACTAGTTTATATAGTTTATATCTTGACGTACTTTTTGAATGCAAATATATTTATATAAAGGAGTAATATATGTATTTGATAGTTATAGTTAGAAAGATAGTATACTTCATTTTAAGGATAGCACAAAATATTATAAATACAAGTATCTTAAAAAGTAAAATAACCTTGTATATGTAGGAGAGCTCCTTGGAATAAAAATATGCATTCATTGGTTTTACTCTATAATCGAAGTTGTTTAAAACAATAAACATTTATTGAAGGAATAATATCTCCCTGGCAAATCACCTCATTTTCCCTGAAGGAATCTGCCTTTGATGGGGGTAAGTGCGGTCTTTGTGCAGTTGGAATCTATTGACTATATATAAAAATTGGATTGCAATTTATGCCAAGTTCTTTTAAATGAGGGCTTTCAGTACTGATGTTGGGTTTTTAGCTAAAGTTTGGGTTTACTTCAATAATCATATTTATTAACTGTATGGCTTATGTGAACATTTTTTTTTTTTTAGGTGCCTCGACCTCTTGCTATGAAAAAAGAGGGAATTCAAACCAGGAAACGAAAACCTAAGAACATAAATAAGTCAAAGGCTTGCTCTGGTAAATATAATAAAAATGTTGTTTGATTGTAAAGTATTTGCCAACCTTAACAGTATAGTGTATGTATATTTATGGGTTAATTTTGACTATTACAGGTAATAACAATAATTCCGTTCCTATGACTCCATCTTCCACCTCTTCTAACTCAGATGATTGCAGCAAAAATACTTCCCCTACAACACAACCGACAGCCTCAGGGGTAAGTGTTAAAACAGTATAGATAAACTAGTGGGTAGCTAGCTGTCTAGTTTATTATCTCAAATTTTATCTTATCTGGTAGTGCTATAGTCTAAACCAACAGTCTAGTTTAGTTAGCTGATACCTAAGAATAGTTTTTAGAGGAAATTACATTTAAATGTCAACAAAATGACAAACTTAAGTACTTTACAAACCTCTTAATTAAGATCTATATCATATTTTTATGGTTAAATTAACCCAAGTAAAAGCTAGAAGTTTTGGTTTGAAGTGCTTTAAATTGCTTTATTTCCAGGTTTTTATCTGAATTGAGATATATATATTTCTAATGTCGATCAAAAACCTATCAGCTCAGTGGTTTCATATGCCCCAGAGCACATGACATTTTGCTTATTAAATCAACGTGTATTTTCAATTTTCTTTTCCCTTTTCCTTCCCTTCAATTTCCTCCCTCTCTCCTCTTTCTTTTCTTCCCTCCCTGTCTCCCAGAACACAGCTACTGTATTCACTAATCTTTCTTCACCCAAGGTCCTCTTGCTGGGAGGTTTCGCCTTATTTAAATGTGCCTAATGGTGCCCAGGCTTCTTTCAGCCTTGCTGCAAACTAGCCTGTGAGCAGCTCGGTTTGTGAGTGAGGGTCTTTGTGACGATCATACTCAGAGTTAATTTCTGTGAAGCTGTGATTGGAACTACGTTTTTCTCAAGTGAAGAGCATTTTCCCACCCTACTGTTACCTAAATTTATCTGGGATGCTCTTTAAAAATGATTGGGTCTCACTCTAGTTCTCACTGAAATCCAGGGTGGGGCCCGGACAGCATGCCCCAGGTGATGGTAGGATTATACTGAGACTGGTTTAGGGTGAAACACCAGCATTAAAATCTATTGATTAATTGCTTTTTACATTTAGTTTTGTCCTATTTGGGGTACTTTGAAATACTACAGATTCCAGGGCCCCACCCTGGATTTTCTGAGTCAGAGTCTCTGGGGTAGGGCTTGGAAATAATGTGTTTTTGAACAAGTGCCCCAGGTGAAATTGAAACCCTCCCCTCCAGGTTCTTCCACTCAGGGTCTGGGAACCTCAGAGCTGGTTTTGTTTCTTTCATTGTATTTTCACAGGCTTAAACAAATGGAAATTACACGTTTGAAACGATTTTAAATTGTGCTTAAAATTAAATTTATTTCTCTTTGTCCTCTGACCCAAATTCTTTTGAGCTTTTTCTTTAATGAAACAAGAAGTTTGATCCGAGTCTCACAAGGGAAAAAGCCTTTCATTCATGTTTGTTGCAGATAGGTTAAAAAATGTTCTGTCCTTTATAAAGGTGGACTCTGGTGTATGAGGTTTTTACAGGAGGGTTACATGTAATTTTAAATATCTAAAGTGGTAAATAGAACACTTCCTTGTAGGGAAATGAAAAAGATCAAAATTATTTAAAAATATTTTTGATGATGCCTGAAGTCCTCAGAAGCAATTATGTGGCTAAATGAGGCGAAGCAATGTTCTGGTTTTCCAAAGCGTTGAGGGAACAGCCAGGTTTCCCCCTCAGTGTGTGTCTTTTTTAGCAGAAATGAGTATTGCTGCCAGCTCCAAGTCACTTTTGTTGGTGATATAGTCCAGCTTAAGCATGGCAAAAGCCAAATTTGAATGATAAATGGCAGAGAAATAGATATTTGCCCAACAATGGGCTTTGGGGACCTGGAACCCTAGTGGGTGGAATCCATTTTGCTCTAGGGGTTTTTGTGAAATAAAATTTTAAAATTGGCTGTTTGCAAGTCTAATCAATTGCCCTCCCAGGGGAGGAAAATTGAAAAGGCAGTGCCGGTGGGGCCCTGGCCTGTCTGGAGAAGGACCCTTGGGAGTTCTGCTTTGGTGTCCCAACAACTCTACCCTGGGACGCAGCACACCAGAGGTGGCTAGCCTGTCAGTGCCCTTTGGAGGAACATTCAGTTCCTAGGGGCCAGGAGTCAGAGCAACAGAATTTTAGAGATTGGGGGATTTGAGAGCTATAAGCTCCCATTCTTCCTATAGCCTCGAGGGACCAGGAACCAGCCATGTAAGCTACAGGTGGCCTCAGAAATGCTTCCAGACAGCTTTCCTGGTGGGTGGGGGGTGGGGGTGGATTGCCTCCCCTCCTCCCCTGACCCCAGGGACCCCCTCCTGGCCTGGCTCCACAGGCTGGCACCTGGGTTATGGGTTTTCTCTGGATGGCGAGCCCATCACGAATGTCTCCATCAGCTCCCACCCGCTGTGCCTGTTGTGGGGAACGAAGTCTGCTTGGCAGAAGCCAGTCTGCTGGCTGCCTGTGGAAACTGTGCCTCCAAGACTAACTGTAGACTCCAGTGCTCTCCCCAGCTCACTCCCGAGGAGTGCCAGTATGTCCCTGCTGGTCCCTTAGCGCTTTTCAGAGTCTTCTCTGGGTGTGGGTGGGCAGCCCGGCAGCTGAGGAGAGCTGTGACGAGAATGTGAGTTATCTGTGAGCTGTTGGGTTGGCACAAGCCTTTGTGAAAGGGGGCTGTGTTGACAAAGATGTGTTGTTTTCCCATTTTGGTCATGGTTTATGATGTTGGAGGGCAGTTGGTGTTGGAACAGACCACTTACAGGATTTTGTGAAGGGCTATAGGTGAGGAAAATGTTCTATCTACATAGCAAAGTTGTATCTAGTATGTAGTACGTGGCACCTTCATTGGCTCGGTGTTTAAGCCTCTTGTGATGGTGGATACCTCCCTTTGATTTCCAGTGGTCCCTTTGGCGGAAGTTAGGGTTATCCTAGCTTAGTAGGGACAACTGAGCTACAAAGCAGGGCAGTTTTAGGCATACTCCTGGTGGAACTCAGGCACTGGGGCTACATGTTCTTCCACTGAGAGAGGTAGATGGCAGCGTAACTGTTCCACCGTTCCTTCATGACTTATAGCAGGGACGTGGGACCACTGCAACGGTCTAATCAAAGTTGCTGATTACTTTCATTCCTGCTGAGAAATCAGCTCTAGGTACCGTGGGCATTCCCAGCAGGCTGCTTTTCAGTCCTCATGTTCCTGCCCTAACCTGCATGTGGACATGTTCAGGTGGTGACATGTTCAGCATGGTCCGGATCCTGAGTGTTCTGGAGGGAGGCACTCCTGTTGTCTGCTGTCATGAGAGGGGGCTCCGGGGCTCCCTCCCCAGCAGGTTGAAGGGGTATGGGCAGGATGCCTGGTGCACAGCGTTCGGTGTTCTTCCTGGGCAAGTGCCACGAAAATAATTTTTGTGCTGCTCTGAAGCCTCATTTCTGTGTTTTGTTGCCTGTGTTAGCTTTATGAACTTGTTGATACTTTGTGTTTTAGTCCTCTGCCTGGGAAAAAGGAGACATTCCTTCTGATGATCATCAGGTCAATGACCTGGCTACCTGATGACTCAGTTTCTCTTTGTTGTAGGCTGTGCATGTGGTGGTGGTGGTGTGTGTGTGTGTGTGTGTGTGTGGTGGAGGTAGAGAAAGGGTACTTGGTTTTCTGTGTGAGATCAGGAAGACCTGCTGCCTTGCAGCCCAGGATTAAAATAGCTCCTGTCTTGTTGCTTTGGAATCCTTGTGTTTGCTCAGAAATGTGTTAAACTTAATTTTTGATAGACAGTTAATTAATTTTTGAACTTAAAGATAAATTTCCCCAAAATAGTATTTCACTTTGTCTAAAATGTTGTTATACATGTAGTTTTACTGAACAACGTATGTTCAGTTGACCTAAAGAGAGCAGATTTTCTTTGGCATTTATATTATCTGTGGGTTATGAGAATATTTAAATCTTTTATTGATTTTCATTTATTGACTTAGGTTTTATAGTTTTTTTTTGTTATTGTTATTTAGAAGGGAGATATAATGACATGTTCTATTTCGGCAATTCCCAAGTAAGATTTATAAATTTATAAGTTTATAAATGTTGTTTTCCTTCCTATGACTTGTACCTAAAAATCTGTAAAATTAGAGGATATGTTACCTATACAGGGGTGGGCAAAAGTCAATTTACAGATGTGAGTACGTGAAACACAGTTTATTCTTGTATTTATTTGTGGATTATCATATTATTTATTTGTATTATGTAAAACTTCTTTTGCTTACTCCTGTATAGTTCATCTCCATTTATTTCAACATTATATGTCTAATGATGACTTCAATATTATATCTGCAATTTTAGCACAGACTTAAGTAGGTTTTAATTTCTAATATTTAGAACTACTTTTAAGCAGGCAAAATATGTATGTGTATATATATAATGTGTATATATAATGTGTATAATATGTAATACATAAACTTAATATATATCTGTTAATACTGAAGTTTTATTAGATAAAAGATATTTAATTTCCTTTGGGATGGGAAAGATTAATTTGGGGATGAAATAAGCAATAAGACAATCTCTGAGAATAAGAAATCGCTGAATATACAGGATGAGGCAAAAGTAGGTTTCTAGGTGTGAGTACATGAAACAGTTTATTCTTGTGTTATTGATTATTGTATTATTTTCATTATGAAAAGCTGTAAACCTACTTTTCCCAGCCTTGTATATGACTAGCCCTTGCTTTATAGTTGTCCCGTTTATGAAGCATTGTGCTATTGGAGGCCCTGTTATAATTGAATAAAACTAGGTCCCTGACCTCAAATTTTTCATAGTTCATAAGGTGGGGATGAAAATAGACACTACTGCTGGTTAGATTCGGAAGTGCTTTAGGTGAGCGACAAAGTGACAACAGTATGGTCGGCGAAAGGAGGGAGTGGTGCATGCTGACCGCAGTTGGAAATGGCTCCACGGAGTAGAGGAAAGGGAAGTTACTTGGGGAGGATTTTTGTGGGGGAAACAAGGGGATATATTCTCCAGGAAGAAGAGAGGCATGGGTATCTATGGTACTCCAGGGACAGCGTATTTAGGGAGTTCAGTGTGGCTGGACTTCAGAGTTTAAGAAGCCAAAGGCAGGAAATGAGGCTGGTAAATAGGTGGAAGGTAGACCTTTGAAATGATTTCAAATTGATATCAAGTCAGC